ACTAGCTAGCTAGGTACGCAGCCAGCTAGCCATTTGTGCGGCTAGTTAGCGACTCACATAGCTAGCCAGCTAGCTGTATGGTTGGCTAGCTGGCTGCTGAGCCAGCTAGCCAAGTATATTGCTAGCGAGTTAGCTACACGGCCTTTATTTTTGTCGGCCCCTGTTTCCTGGTGTTGCTGTGTGCGTCTCCGTTAGCAGCAGCTCTTGCTGCTGCTGCTTGTGCTGCTGCTGCTCCTGCTCACCCAGTCATTGAATGCAGGCGGGAACTCCGTTTGGTAGATATGCCCCTTTGCGGCAGCAGCAGAAACGCACAAGCAGAGGAACGCAGCAAACGAATGGGCTGCTGCTGCTGCTGCTGCTTCTGCTGCTCCGAGTTCTGCTGCTGCTCATTCCGCTGCAAAGAAGTGCTGCAACTGCTGTGGCGACCAGAGTGCGCACCAGCAACAGCAGCGGCAGCAGCAACTCCGGCAGCAGCAGCTTCTGTGCCTACCGCTGTGGAAGTAACCTTGAAAAAAGCCGCTGCAGCAACGCATGCAGCAGGCAGCAACAGCAACAGCACAGCTAGATTAATCCTAAGACAGCTGCAGCGCGCTAGCGGACGGCCATGAGCAGCAGCAGCAACAGCAGTAGCAGCAACAAAATAGCAGCGGCAGCAGCAGAACCAGCAGCAGTTGTGCCTCACGCTGCCCCAGAAATTCTCCTCGAAACTCCCAGACGCTTGTCACTGGCGATATCTGCAGCAAACGCGCAAGATAGCTGTTTTGCTGCTGCTGCTGCTGCTGCTTCTGCTGCTGCCATTGCTGCTGTTGATGAGGCATCATAGCAGCATGGTCACGGAGGTGTCATCGGCACCAGCAGCAGCTGCTGCAGCAGCAGCTGCAGCAGCAGCCGCAGCAGCCCTAGCAAATGCAAAAGCAATAGATCCACCCACAGGAACAGCGGCGGCAGTAACAGCAGCAGCAGTAACAGCAGCAACAGGCGCACTGGCAGCAACAACAGCTGCCACGGTAGCAGTAGAAGCAGCAACAGCAGCAGCAGCAACTGGGACCAGCAGGGGCACAAGTGGGAGCAGCAGCAACAGCAGCAGCAGCAGCATGAGCAGCAGCAACAGCAGCTGCGCACTCCTCTTCTTTTGCTGCAGTTCTTCTTGGAGAGAATGTCCGCTAGGGTCTCGGCAATGGAAGGCTTTTCAGCCACCATCAGCACCGAGACTTCGCCCCGCTTGCTAGCCATCTTGCTGCTGCTGCTGCTGCCGTTACTGCTGCTGCTGCATCTGCTGCTACTCCCGCGTCGTTGCTGCTGCCTGGCCGGAAGAAGCAGTGCCAGTTGCCACAGCGGCGCAGCAAATCTAAGGAGGAGCGTGCTTGCTCCCTGTTTTGTTGCTGCTGCTGCTGTTGTAGATGCTGCTGCTGTGTCTGCTGCTGCTGCAGGCGTGGCTGGTGCTGCTCCTGCTGTGTTTGCTGCTGCTGCTGCTGCTGCTGGGCCCTGGAGCGAGCCGACGGTCGATGAGGATTGCGGCCAGCTGCGCTTCAGTCTGCAGCGACCGCTGCAGCAGATCTAACAAAAGTGAAAACAAATTAAATTCCAATTTTATTTCACGCTTAACTGGGAGGCAGCAGCAGCCGGGCCCCGAAGAGGGGCCCCGCCGGGGGCCCCAGCACGTGGGGGCCCCTTCTGGCTGCAGGCCTAGAGCAGCAAATGAGGCTGTTGGGGCCTACTTTTGTGCCTTTTTGGCCTCAATTCCAGATTTATTTACTGCAGTCTATTAAATCTAATTAATTTAATTAATTTGAGGCCTTTAATGCTCAACAATGCGCAAAATAGTCCACGAGCGGGGGCCCCCAGCAGCGCAGCAAAGGCCTCAGCAACGCTACAGCAGCAGCAACGCTGCAGCAGCTGCTGCAAAGCGGCGCAAGCTCTTAAATTAGAGCAACACAAGAATAGGCTGAAGCCCCGAAGTCCCTGGGCAGCGACTGTCTGCGGGGAAGAGCCTAAAGTAATTTTAAAAAGAATAAAAATGAAAATAAAAAGGGGCAGTGGGCCGGGAGAGCTCGAGTTGAAATTAGGCGTCTGCCCCTTGCTGGCCGGGTGTACATACAGCTGACGCCCAATGCAGCAGCAAACACCAGTGACCCCGCAGCTCTTTGATGGGGGCCCACCTGGGCCTACAGATGTGTCCGGAGGCCCCAGCAAAGTAGCAGCAGCAGCAGCAGCAGCAGCAGTTGCAGCAGCAGTATTGGGCGCACGGCCTTGTGCGGACTTGCAGGTGTATTCCTGTGAGCACCAATTATTAGAGGGAAATGTTTGGTTTTGAAATAAATAAGAACCAAAATATTTGGTTTTGAAATAAATAAGAACCAGAAAATGCCTGAAAATAACAGAGTTCGAAATAAATGGGAATCAGATAAAGTCTGCAGCAGCTCTGGCACTAGAGCTGGTGCGAGGCAAATCCTTCGGGGGCAAGGGCATGGGGTGTACGTACACCCGAGCGTCCACACTCAATAAACAACAAGTCCAAATAGAACACATTGATTGTAACTTCGGAATCTATATATATATATATATAAATATATTTTTATATATACAGATAAATGTGTATATATATATATGCTGGGGCCCCCATTTTGGCCCCAAGACCTCACTGTGGTGCCCCAGCCAGCCTCTCCTTGCAAATGCCCTAGGGCCCCAAAGGCAGCAAATCCAAACTGCCCAGCAGCAGGCCTCTCGCGGCTGGCTAGCTACCTGACGCCCCAACGCCGCCCGCGCCCTGCAGCTAGCTAGCTAGCTAGCTCGCTAGCTGGCTAGCTAGCTAGCTGGCTAGCTAGCTAGCTAGCTATCTGGTTGTCTTCCGGCAGGCGTCGTTGACTCTGCTCTTTCTCTAGCTAGCCGCGCCCAGCTCCCCGCGCCTGGCTAGCTGCCAGTTCGACAGCACCTCGCTCCCAGCTAGCCACCATGTAGCTGCAATATCGCTGTCAGCTAGCCGCACCTGGCTAGCGGCCAGCTAGCTGTCGCCTCGCCCCAAGCTTGCTGTTGGCTAGCAGCCACCTTGCCAGCTAGCTGCCAGCTAGCCGCCCTCTCCCAGCCAGCTAGCTGCCGTCTCCCGGCCAGCTAGCTGCCAGCTAGCTGTCAGCTAGCTGTTCCTTCCCAGCGTCTAGCTTGGACTTTGCTGCAACATCTGGGGGCTGCTGCAGGCAGGCGGGCCTGAGGGTTTCTGGAGAGAGTTGAAAGTCTGCAGCAAGGCTGGAGTCGATGAGGACCCAGTCTTTGGGGTGTCTGAACACCTCGAGGCTTTGGGCCTCGTGGCTCCCGGGCGGGGGCCACTCCCCGGGGGCCCCCTCCCCGGGGGGCCCCCCGGGGGGCCCCCCCGGGTTCTCCCAGCGGGCCAGGAGGGGCAGGGAGGCCAGAATGCTGTCAGTTCTGCTGCCGGGCAGAGAGAAGCCGAAGCGGGTGCCCCTGTCGCAGAGCAAGTTGAATTCAACGTAGCGCCCGCGGCGGAGGAGCTGCCAGCGGCGGGG